TGGGGTTTTTTAGGGTGAAATTTGGGGATTTTTGCGTTAAATTTTGGGGATTTTTGGGATAAATTTTGGGGATTTTTGCGTTAAATTTTGGGGGTTTTTTATGGTGAAATCTCGGGATTTTTATGGTGAAATTTTAGGGTTTTTTAGGGTGAAATTTGGGGATTTTTGCGTTGAATTTTGGGGATTTTTGGGATAAATTTTGGGGATTTCAGGGTTAAAATTTTAGGGTTAAATTGGAGGATTTTTGGAGTTAAATTTTGGGGTTTTTAGGGTGAAATTTGGGAATTTTTGGGTTAAATTTTGGGATTTTTAGGGAGAAATTTTGGGCATTTTTAGGGTTAAATTGGAGGATTTTTGGAGTTAAATTTTGGGGTTTTTTAGGGTGAAATTTGGGGATTTCAGATCAAAGGGTCAAGGGGTCAGTGCTGAGGTCAGTGATGACGTCATCCATGGGGTCAGTGGGGTCAGTGATGACGTCATCCATGGGGTCAGTGATGGTCACTCGTCACCCATGGGTGCCCCCCAGTCCATCCTCACCCTCGGGGTGTTTGTACTGGTCACTGATGGTCAGTGATGGTCACTGATGTCACTCGTCACCCATGGGTGCCCCCCTGTCCATCCTCACCCTCGGGGTGCTTGTACTGGTCAGTGATGTCCACTCTGGCCGCTGACCCCGCCGCCAGCGTGCTGATCCTGCGGCCGATGGCGCCTTCCTCCACGTGCACCACAGCGAAGCCGCCGTGCGCCTGCCGCTGCCAGTACACCTTGTCGCTGTTCACCTGGACACGCCCCCCTCATTAGCATAGAGAAACCACGCCCCCTTTGCTGTAAACACTGGGTGAAAACTAAAGGGACATCAGGTCTACCCATTGAAAAACAACAGGGAAATTGGGACACCAGGTCTACCCATTGAAAGGTATGGGGAAATCGGGACGCCAGGTCTACCCATTGAGTTGAATGAGGTATTTGGGACATCAGGTCTACCAATTGAACACAATTGGGATTGACAGACACCAGGTCTACCCATTGAAAGGAATGAAGAATTTGGACACCAGGTCTACCCATTGAACGCAATGGGAGATTTAAGACATCAGGTCTACCCGTTGAAAGTAAAGGGGAAAACAGGACATCAGGTCTACCCATTGAAAGCAATGGGGAATTTCGGACATCTCGTCTACCAATTGAACGCAATGGTGATTGAAAGACACCAGGTCTATCCATTGTACGCAATGGCACATTTAGGGTATCAGGTCTACCCATTGAAAGCAACGACTAAATCAGGACATCAGGGCTACCCATTGAACATCATTGGGAAGCTTGGACACCAGGTGTACCAATTGAACTCAATGGAGAGATCAGGACACCAGGTCTACCCGTTAGAGTCAATGGGGATATAGGGACCCAGCAGCCGATGGCGCCTTCCTCCACGTGCACCACGGCGAAGCCGGCGTGCGCCTGCCGCTGCCAGTACACCTTGTCGCTGTTCACCTGGACACGCCCCCCTCATTAGCATAGAGAAACCACGCCCCCTTTGCTGTAATTGGTGGGTGAAAACTAAAGGGTCACCAGGTCTACCCATTGAAAGGTATGGGGAAATCGGGACGTCAGGTCTACCCATTGAGTATAATGAGGCATTTGGGACATCAGGTCTACCAATTGAACACAATTGGTATTGACAGACACCAGGTCTACCCATTGAACGCAATGGGAGATTTAAGACATCAGGTCTACCCATTGAAAGTAAAGGGAAAATCAAAACACCAGGTCTACCCATTGAAAGCAAAGGGGGATTTTGGACATCTCGTCTACCAATTGAACTCAATGGTGATTGAAAGACACCAGGTCTACCCATTGTACACAATGGCACATGTAGATTATCAGGTCTACCCATTGAAAGCAACGACTAAATCAGGACATCAGGTCTACCCGTTGAACATCACTGTGAAGCTTGGACACCAGGTCTACCAATTAAAAGCAATGGGGAGATCAGGACACCAGGTCTACCCGCTAGAGTCAATGGGGATATAGGGACCCGGCGGCCAATGGTGCCTTCCTCCATGCGCACCACGGTGAAGCCGCCGTGCGCCTGCCGCTGCCAGTACACCTTTTCGCTGTTCACCTGGACACGCCCCCTCATTAGCATACAGAAACCACGCCCCCTTTGCTGTAATTGGTGGGTGAAAACTAAAGGGACACCAGGTCTACCCATTGAAAGGTATGGAAAATCGGGACACCAGGTCTACCCATTGAAACTAATGGGGCATTTTGGGAAATCAGGTCTACCAGTTGAACGCAATTGGGATTGAAAGTCACCAGGTCTACCCGTTGAAAATAATGAGGAATTTGGGACACCAAGTCTACCCATTGATCAAAAATGTGAAATTTAAGACATCAGGTCTACCCTTTGAAAGTGATGGGGACTTTCGGACACCAAGTCTACCAATTAAACGCAACGGAGAAGTCAGGACACCAGGTCTACCCATTAAAACCTATAGGGAAAACCAGGACACCAGGTCTACCCGTTGACAGTAATGGGGAAATTTGGACATCAGGTCTACCAATTGAACTTAATGGGGATTGAAAGACACCAGGTCTACCCACTGTGCACAATGGGAGATTTACGACATCAGGTCTACCCGTTGAAAAGTAATGGGGACTATTGGACACCAGGTCTACCCATTGAAGTCAATGAGGATTTTTAGGGACATCAGGTCTACCCATTTATGGCAATTGGGATTTTTAGAGACACCAGGTCTACCCATTGGAGTCAATGAGGATTTTTAGGGACATCAGGTCTACCCATTGAAGTCAATGGGGCTGACACCTTGATCACGCCCGCTGATTTGCATGGACAGACTCCGCCCACCCTTAATTTGCATTAATAAGCCACGCCCACCCTCTGATTTGCATGAACAAACTCCGCCCACCTCAGCGAAAACGAAGGGCGTGTCGTACTTGAGGAAAACCTCTCCGTTCTTCACCGCCTTCACTGAGCATGGACCGCAGCAGAACAGCCCTGCGGGGACCAGTATGGACCAGTATGAACCAGTATGGACCAGTATAAACCAGTATGGACCAGTATGGACCAGTATGGACCAGTATGGACCAGTATGGACCAGTATGGACCAGTATAAACCAGTTAAACCATTATGGACCAGTATAAACCAGTATAAGGCACTAAAACAAGCACAAACCAGTAAAAACCAGTAAAAACCAGTAAAAAATTGGTTAAAAACCAGAAAAAAAGCAGTAAAAAAACTATAAACCAGTATAAACCAGTAAGGACTAGTGTGAACCAGTATAAACCAGTATCAGGCAGTAAAACCAGTAAAAAACAGTAAACACCAATAAAAACCAGAAAAAATTTGTAAAAAATCTGTAAAAAACAGTAAAAACCAGTATAAAAGCAGTATAAACCACTATGGACCAGTATGGACCAGTAAAAACCAGTATAAGGCAGTAAAAAACAGTAAAAAATTTAGTAAAAAACAGTAAAAAACTGTATGGACCAGTATAAACCAGTAAGAAATGGTAAAACCCAGTAAAAACCAGTATAAACTAGTAGGGCCCAGTAAAAAATTGGCAAAAAATTGGTAAAAACCAGTATAAACCAGTAGAAAATCATAAAAATAAGTAAAAAAACAGTAAAAAACTGTAAAAACCAGTAAAACCCAGTATAAACCAGTGTAAACCAGTATAAACCAGTAACAAACCAGTATAAACCAGTAAAAAATTGGTAAAAAACTGTAAAAAACTGTAAAAAATTGGTAAAAAAACAGTAAAAACCAGTGAAAAACTGTAAAAAAAAGTACAAAATTGTAAACACCAGTCAAAACCAGTCAAAACCAGTCAAAACCAGTAAAACCCAGTATAAACCAGTATGAACCAGTATAAACCAGTACCGCTGCTGGTCTCCTGGGGGGTGGCGTCCACCACCTGCCACCCATCGTAGCCCTCGGGCAGGTCCGGCCGCTTCATCCAGCAATCGTTCCACACGTGGAAATTCCTGGGAAACCAGTACAAACCAGTATAAACCAGTACAAACCAGTATAAACCAGTATAAACCAGTATGGACCAGTATAAACCAGAAAAAACAGTTTAAACCGGTAAAAAACACCGATTTTTCCCCAATTTTTCCCCATTTTTTCCACTTTTTCACCCCAATTTTCACCCAAATCCCCTCCCAGTCCCTCCCAGTATAAACCAGTCCCTCCCAGTATAAACCAGTATAAACCAGTACAAAAACCCCCGATTTTCAATAATTTTTCCCTTTTTTCCCCATTTTTTCACCATTTTTCCCTGTTTTTCACCATTTTTCACCCAAATTTCACCGGATTTTCACCCAATTTTTTCCCCAGTCTCTCCCAGTCCCTCCCAGTATAAACCAGTATAAACCAGTAACAAAAATCCCCTTTAAGATCCATTTTTTCCCTTTTTTTCCCTTTTTTTCCCCGTTTTTCGCCTGAATTTCACCCAAATTTCACCGGATTTTCACCCAATTTTTTTCCCCAGTCCCTCCCAGTCCCTCCCAGTATAAACCAGTATAAACCAGTATGAAACCAGTACAAACCAGTATAAACCAGTAACAAAACCCCCCTTTAAGATCCATTTTTTCCCTTTTTTGCTCATTTTTTGCCCATTTTTCGGCCGTTTTTTGTCCAAATTTCGCCGGATTTTCACCCAGTTTTTTTTCCCAGCCCCTCCCAGTATAAACCAGTATAACCCAGTATAAACCAGTACCAGACGGAGTCGGTGTTGAGGCGCTCGAGCGGCCGCATGCTCTCGTCCAGGTAGATGTCGGTGGTGAGCGAGGTGTCGGTGTCGTGGGCGGAGTTGTAATTGGTCACCGTGCGGGTGGGGAGCCCCAGGCAGCGCAGGACTGGGGAAAAAACCAGTATAGACCAGTATAAACCAGTATAGACCAGTATAAACCAGTATAGACCAGTATAAACCAGTATGGACCAGTATAAACCAGTATAGACCAGTATAAACCAGTATGGACCAGTATAAACCAGTATGGACCAGTTTGAGGCGAAAAACAGGGAAAAAAACCCCAAAATATTGGTTAAAACCAGTAAAACCCAGTATAAAACAGAGGTTTTGAGTCAATTTTATCCAGTTTAAACCAGTATAGACCAGTATGGACCAGTATGAGACAAAAAAAAGGGGAAAGAAAGGGAAAAAACCGCAAAAAAAAGGTAAAAAACAGTGTAAACCAGTATAAACCAGTATAGACCAATATAAACCAGTATCGACCAGTATGGACCAGTATAAACCAGTATGAGGTGAAAAAACAGGGAAAAAACGCAAAAAAATTGGTAAAACCAGCAAAAAATCAGTTTAAAATGGGGTTTTGGAGTGGATTTTATCCAGTTTAAACCAGTTTAAACCAGTATAAACCAGTATGGACCAGTATCAGGTGAAAAAATGGGAAAAAAAGGAAAAAAAACCGAAAAATATTGGTAAAAACCAGTATAAACCAGTATGGACCAGTTTGAGACAAAAAACAGGGAAAAAAATGCTAAAAAAATGGTAAAAACCAGTAAAAAACCAGCAAAAAACAGTAAAAAACAGCTTAAAATGAGGTTTTGGAGGGGATTTCAGCCAGTTTAAACCAGTATAAACCAGTATGGACCAGTGTGGACCAGTATAAACGAGTGTGGACCAGTACGGACCAGTATGGACCAGTGTGGAGCAAAAAAAGGGGAAAAAAACGCAAAAAATTTGGTAAAAACCAGTAAAAACCAGTTTGGAATGAGGTTTTGGAATGGATTTCAACCAGTATAAACCAGTTAAAACCAGTATGGACCAGTATGGACCAGTATAAACCAGTATGGACCAGTTTGAGAAAAAAAAAAGGGGAAAAAACCCTAAAAAATCATGAAAACCAGTAAAAAAACAGCTTAAAATGAGGTTTTGGAGGGGATTTCAGCCAGTTCAAACCAGTATAAACCAGTATGGACCAGTATAAACCAGTATGGACCGGTATGGACCAGTATAAACCAGTTTGAGACAAAAAACAGGGAAAAAAATCACTAAAAAAATCATAAAAACCAGTAAAAAACAATAAAAACCAGCTTAAAATGGAGTTTAAGAATGGATTTCAACCAGTATAAACCAGTATGGACCAGTATGGACCAGTATAAACCAGTTTGAGAAAAAAAACAGGGAAAAAAATCGCTAAAAAAATAATAAAAACCAGTAGAAACCAGTATAGACCAGTATGGACCAGTATGGACCAGTTTAAACCAGTATGGACCAGTATGAGACAAAAAAATGGGAAAAAAATGCTAAAAAAATGGTAAAAACCAGTAAAAACCAGTATGGACCGGTATGGACCAGTACAAACCAGTATAAACCAGTCCAAACCAGTATAAACCACTATAAAAAATCCCCTATTAAGATCTGTTTCTTCCCATTTTTCACCATTTTTTGCTCGTTTTTCGCCCAAATTTCACCGAATTTTCACCAAATTTTCCCCTATCCCCTCCCAGTATAAACCACACCAAACCAGTGTAATCCAGTTCCAAACCAGTATAAACCAGTATAAAAAATCCCCTTTTATACCCATTTTTCACCATTTTTCCCCCGTTTTTTGCTCATTTTTCGTCCGTTTTTCGCCCAAATTTCACCAAAATTTCACCAAATTTCACCCAAATCCCCTCCCAGTATAAACCAATCGAAACCAGTATAAACCAGTATAAACCAGTATAAAAAATCCCCTTTTATAGCCATTTTTGGTCATTTTTTGCCCGTTTTTTGCTCATTTTTCATCCGTTTTTCGCCCAAATTTCGCCCAATTTTCACCGAATTTTCGCCGAATTTTTCCTGAATCCCTCCCAGTATAAACCAGTACAAAACCAGTATAAACCAGTATAAAAAATCCCCTTTAAGATCCATTTTTTCCCATTTTTTCACCGTTTTACACCCGGTTTTTGCCCAAATTTCACCGAATTTTCACCAAATTTTTCCCTGATGACCCTCAGACCCCTCCCAGTATAATCCAGTCCAAACCAGTATAAAACCAGTATAAACCAGTAACAAAAACCCCCTTAAACAACCATTTTTGATCGTTTTTTCACCGTTTTTTGCCCGTTTTTCGCTCATTTTTCGCCTGGTTTTCGCCCAATTTTCACCCAATTTGCACCAAATTTTTCCCTGATGACCCCCAGACCCCTCCCAGTATAAACCAGTCCAAACCAGTTCCAAACCAGTATAAACCAGTAACAAAATCCCACTTCAAAACCAATTTTTCCCGTTTTTTGGTCATTTTTTTGCCCATTTTTTTCTCATTTTTCGTCCGTTTTTCGCCCAAATTTCACCGAA